ATGGTCCTTCGGGATTTCAGGGATAACATTCCACCAAAAAAACTATATGATACGCCTTTGAAGAGAGCAAAGCAATTTAAATATCTTGAACACTTAGTGACATCTGACTCAATTCATGACCAGTTTAAGTCTTCAGGGGACGATGCTGATATTGAGAGAGAGCGTAGGGCATTGTCTGTTTGCTCGCAGTTCGAGGGATGTCAGAATCACTGTTCAGAGCGTTTTCTACGTCCTCCTACGCGAGCAGCTTAAGGATCAACTACACCAAAAAACAGTACAGTGCCCTACGTGTCCAGTTCAATAATGCTTTCAGGATGCTGCTGAAGCTGCCTGCATACTGCAGTGCTTCGGTATGTTTGCCGAATACCGCGTGCTGTTTTTTTTACAGCTTTGCGCTAGCGGTGTGCATCCCTGGTGTGCAGGGTGCGGGCGAAATTATTTTAGGAGCGTTTTGACTGTCAGTACATGAACAATTGTTATATGATACTATAGTATAGTTTAGTAATGACTGTAGTTTTTGAATTATATTGTTTGATTATTATTATTGTTATTATTGCATCATTTAATTTAATTTTTTATTTTCAATTATTGTCGAGTGGAATATATTTCTGATTATTTTTACATTATATTATTACTAGCTGTCCCAGCGAACTTCGTACCGCCATAAAAAATAGGGTTTGTTGGTAGAAGGGAGAAAATTTAGGGTTGTATGTATTTTTGTATGATGTATCTTAAAAAAATAAAAACATTTTTTTTGTCAAAAAATAAAATTTAAGGGTGGACGGACAACCCTTAACATTTAGGGGAATGTAAAATAGGTATTGTCCGATTCTCAGACCTACTAAATATGCATATAATATTTCACGAAAATCGGTCGAGCCGTTTCGGAGTAGTTCAATTACGGACACCGTGACACAAGAATTTTATATATTAGATTATTATTAGTGTGTTTTAGATAATATTTATGTAAATAAATAAATATTTCCAACACTCACACCAAATAGCCTAGCCCCAAAGTAAGCACTGTAAGGCTTGTGTTCTGAGATACTAGGACGGATAGGATACATATATTGTACATATATAAGTATATTTATATAGAAATACATATTAACATCCATGACTGGAGTACAAATGCTCGTAAACATCTGCCCCCACCGGGATTCGAGCCCGGGACCTCTCGAGTCGGCGACACCATGAATCCCGGCGTATAAACCATATAATGTAACGATATGATCAACAACATGTAATTGAATATATAATGTAACGATATGATCCATGTTTAATGTGGTACTCTGAAGTTTTACTAAGGAAGCATAGCTTTTTTGGTATCTTGTTATTCTTTTGACATGTTTTGTTTGAAAAGGAAAAGACTTCAACGCGCCTTAGAACCTTAGTTAAATAACGTAAATTACGATATTAACCTTGTAGATTGGGCTCCGGAAATGCTGCTTGGGTATATTGTTGTGTTATGGTGTGTTACGGTTAGTTACACTGTACATGAACGACAAATAATATTATGTTATCTACAATCGCAGCCAAATTTGAGGCTTGAACTCGAAGGCAAAAGCACGAATTTTGGCAGCTCCATAATTGTTTCGTCATCGCCAAATCTTGTATTGGAAGGAGCCAGTTTGTTCTTACGTCTGGCAGGGGCGCTGCTTAATATTCATAGAAATTGTTATATAATACAGGGCGTTCCACGGCTCACAGGGAGGGAAAGTATATTAAATATTGAAGATAGGATATTTTTCTAAAAGAAGACATCATATTATTTTTAATAATAACTAGAACTGCATTCACAGGTTTTTTTAAAATCGCCTGCTATAACTGGGAATCAAACTCGTGAGATTTCGAAAAAAGAAACACAACATATTTTATGGTAACCATCGAAAGGGTTAATCATAAGGATTATTTTTTGCTAAATAACAAATGAAAGGAATGTCTTATTAAGTGATAAAAATAATAAAGTGATATACAAACTGTACGTACGTATGCTTTGTTTTAAATTTAAATAATAATTCCAAAATGGAACACATAAATTTTCAAGCGTCTGTTCTTTAGTTTTTTGTGAGTTTCATTTTCATTTATTTTGCAATTTTTTTGTTACTTTACTTACCATTGCGTATCAAAATAAAATGGATTTAATTGAAGCTTACTTTATGAACCACAAAGACATATTAGCTTTGCGGTGGTAACTGACAGAGACGTACCTTCTCGATATGTGTTTAAAAGGTTAGTAGATACTTTAAGAAAGTTAGGAGGTTTTGGTATGCGCTTACAGAAACCACAGCAGCGGATGATAAACGTCTACGATGATGAACTTAACATTTTAACTTACTTGGAGGCGCATCCGACTTTATATTAGTTTGTGTTAAATAATTTGAAATAAAATGTTAAATTTAATTACTTTTCTTTCTTTTAAAATGCTATGTTATTTAGCAAAAAATAATCCTCATGATAATACTTTCGATGGTTATCATAAAATATGTTGTGTTTTTTTTTCGAAATTTCACGAGTTTGATTCCCAGTTGTAACAGACGATTTTTAAAAAAACCTGTGAATGCAGTTCTATTTCTTATTAAAAATAAAAGATGTCTTCATTCAGTAAAATATCGAATTTTCAATATTTAATATACTTTCCCTCCGTGTGAGGTAGCCGTGGGACGCCCTGTATACTAGTTGACCCGTACTTCGTACGGGTTAAAATAATTTGGAAGAAATGACGGACCCTAGTCTACCGTACTATAAGGGACGAACGTCAAATGTTTGATAGGAAAGACAACAGAACAGTAAGTTTATATGGGAAAATTAAATTTACGTTTTTACTATCTTCCTCGCAATTTTTCCATATTTTCTCACCTTCTATACCTTCCCTAGACCTCCACGAACATTTCAAGAACAAGATAAGATAAATCCGTTCAGACGTTAGTACCGTACCGTACGTACCGCATTTAAACGCGTCATTTATTATCTAAGTTTCATTAAAGTTGGTGCTGTCATTTTATTTACGATAATAATAGAATACCAGGTCCAGGGGCTCATTATTCAATCACTGGATAAAACTTATTTGCCTGATATCATATTAGAAGGACAAATTGAGAGTCTTGCGCAACATCACATAAATGCTCATACAAGAACATGTATTTGTGTGATGTTGCCTTAGAGTATCTAATGTTGCGAAAGACTTTTATTTTTGATAAGGTAATAAACACCAATAATTTTAGGAATCCAAGAGTTAAAAAATCTTAGCTTATTTAAATATGTGCCTACTAATCCCAAATTATACTTACTAATATCAGCAAAAGCATATCTATAGGCAGTTAAAAATAAATTAACAAGAACACTCTAATTTGCTGCCTCATATACAGCGATTTTAATAATTGTAAAGGATCCTCAAATAACTGGTAACCTACCTAACCTTTAAGTTACCCCCTTTTTTTTTGGTGATCATACAATTTTTACGGGGATCGTTTAAATATTTTCCGTTTTTGATATCTATTATTACTCCTATATAATTTTCGTTTGCATGACTTTTCATTTGATGACCGAGTTTGCTTGCACACACTTGGAACTATTAAAATTTGACCGAATACAGAGTGCATTTAATATCGACAGAGGGTCAGAGAAGCCTTCTTCAACGAATAGCAGCAGGGAAGGTGCAGTCGGAGAAATTGCCGATATGCCACTTCCGGCGGTATTGGACAAGTTTAATATTTTCGGATACGGTAAGTACCTACATGGGTACTACGGTAACTCCTACAGACTAATCAAGACCAAGCGTAAACCTTGTGGCATTCCAACAAGTTCTTCTTTGCTCAAAAACACTTAAGGATTTACAGGTTCATTTGTGAAACAGTTCTATTCTTATCTTACGTGTATTATCTAACTAAACCTGCAGTTGCTTTTTAAAATTATTGGCAATATTACTATTATTTAGATAAGCTATTAAGAGATTTTGAGAAGGTATTTATGTATACGTATTTTAATATAGAACTTAATACGTACTTAGCACTTCTATAAATAATAAGTGCTGCAACAAAATTTTATAACAAAGCAGACGAGAATTAAGTGAAATCTTAATGTATTATATTATTATTATACCCGGCTATCAGCTATTTGAATCATTGATTTTGGAACTCAAATTGCTAGCGTATTTGGTGTTTCCAATTAAAGTTTAAAATCACAAAACTCATGATGAATGTTCAATACCCACACCCTAATCTATGATGAAAATCATTGTTAACTTTCTAAAGTCATATAACATACTTTAGCAGAACAAAATTATAAACGAACATTAACTATATACCTATTTATCAATATAGTACCTAGGTATTCGACTTTAACTGTTTCAGTTCGTCCTTATACAAAACAAATATAACAAAACATACCTACATTCGAAGTAGTTTTGGTTTACCGTTTAAGTAGCAAAACGCACGAGCCGCTAAACGCGGCGGGTGGCGGTCGCGCAGAAGAGGCATATAGGTACGACAACACACTGGCATCCGCGTAAATACAAATTCGGAGGAGCCGCCAACCGCGGCGGATGACAGTATTTATAGTTTTCAAAAAGAATGTTTAGAACAAAAAAGTGTGTGGTCTCTCTAGAAGACCGAATAAGTTGACAACCGTTTGTTGTCGGCGTCCGCTCAACCGCGCGGTAACGCAGATGCCACTGCGTAGTCGTACCTATATCACAGACTACTTAACCTATATGCTAATACAAATTAATAACCGTCCACGCAATCGGCCGCGGCTCGTGCGTTGTGGAACTTATGAAGAGCTCTTCTAATCCAATGCATATTAAGAAAATATAAAAAAAAATATTTACACATAAAATATCAAATTACCTAATAAGAACACATTTAAACCACGTCATTGCTTTTTATAACGGAATTATACAAATAAACTAAGTTATTTTTAAGTACTACTTATCTACGTTTGCTATATTTTGAGCGACGAAGATTCTGCGACTTCTTAATTCTTATACACGTTGATGATTTTTAATATAACACATCTGACTCTGTTATTGTTGCTGGAAACATAATTATATAACATGACAATATTTGATTTGTTATAACAAAACAATAAATACATTTAACAGTATAATTTTAACTGGTAAATTGAATATTGTCAGAAATTGTGGTTATCTTCATATTTATAGAAATAAGAGTCGGTTTTAATTCAAACAAGCCTGTTAACTCTTCTTCAAATATGAATAACCATTTAGCTTTTAAACAACTTTACCCTTAGCACAAACCAATATCTAATTCGAATAGTTGAATTCGATCTATTAACTACGTCAAATGTGTACTGTAATTTTTAGTTGTCGAGTCATCTTTTGTGGCGCTGCCTTCGATTAAAACATTTAATCTAAGGGCGCTGCTGTTGAAGTTTCCATACAAAATTTGAAATTGACATTTCGGACTCGCAAACTATTCGAATTCGATAATGGTTCGTGCTTAGGGTACCGTTGTTGTTGATTGTACCGTCCCTCATCAAAATTTATTCATAGTGTATTAAAATAATATGAAATTTATGTGTACGGACAGAAAATACAATATCACAGTCTCGTTTGAGGGTAGACGTTATACTCACGGCGGGACTGGGCGAACGCGTCCCGCTTATGGAGCAGAGAGCTCAGGCTGGACGCTGCCCGGTGGACGGCTGGAAAATATCAATATTTAAATTTAAAAGAAAATAATACTAGAAAAAAATCCACGCGACGGGGGGGGGGGGGGGGGGGTCTGCTGCCTGGGCCGCGTAAATTTTGTTTTTAGTAAATGTTTCTTTAGTTTTATTATTCATTTTTAATCTGTGTGGAACCGGCATTAAAGTAATAACTTGTAAGTTGCTTTTTATCTCTTTCATTTAATTCGCTATCGCAGAGGTGAAAAGCAATCTCTACAGGCGTCAGACCATAAACATCGGTAATTACATTAACATTATCAAACTATATATCAGGTGGCTTTGCTTCCAGTATATTTTGGCCATGTTGCTATACGTTAAAATTCGGTTTCCATACTGTATCCCCTGACGAATGTATGTTAATTACTGGCATTTAGTCAATGATGCAACCAAATTTTCCGATCCATTAACATCTTTGGTGCCGATGAAAATTGGTATAGATTTCGCAAATCAATTTCATAGTAAACACTCCCAGGCTTATTTCAAGGGTTTTAAACACTCACTAGATTATGTATGTTATGAAAAATGACTGTAGTCGATCACAATTTTTAGATTATACACTGAACACCTTAAACCATAATACACTCAAAGACTTTTCTGTAGGAACTTATAGCAAATAGCAGTACATGTTCACAATTTATCGAAAACCCGTGCAACAATAATAGGTTTTGTTAAACAAATAGATTCACAACAACTTCAAGATTCACCACTCGAGACTCGCTGGTATTTCTAAAGAATTTCATGAATTAGAGTGGTAGTGTAGACGTTTTCGATTCAATAGTTCAACACTTAACACTAGCAGGATTTTCTGAAGAGCTGCATGAAAGATGGTTAAAGTGATTGTGTTACTGGACACATAGATATGGCAGATGGCAGTAGAAGTCCAAAACTTATCAAAAGCACAGGCAAAAGTCACAAGTAGACGATCACAACTTTTAGTTTCAGCACTCGATACACGCAGGTACTTCTAAAGGATTTTATGGAATAGGATGGTAGCGTTAAACGTTCACAATTTTCCGATACAACACTGTATTCAGGCTTGCTTTTTGTAGGAATATAATGTATGGCATATAGCAATAGACGTTTACAGCCTATCGAAAGCACACGCAACACTCACTAAGGTTATTTTAAACAAACCACTGATAGACAATCACACTCGATAGTAAAGGGTGGTAGCATGGTACAATTTTCCGATTCAACACTGCACTCACAGGCTTTTCTGAAGGGTTGTATGGCGGTGTAGTCGGGTAGCGGCACGGGCGGCAGGTCCTCGTCGGGCGGCAGTTGGTCACGCATGCGGTGCGCTGATGATGGCACGTAAGCCCATGGCAACTGCCCTTGCAGCTCGGCGGCGGTGCCACGCCGTCTGACGCCAATTATTCCGACTTTGTGAATTCCGTTCAAGGGTTTTGTTACGCCAAAATATGAAGATATTTTTTCTCTATTGCCCCTCATTTGAATTGCACTTCTTTTATTTTGGGTTAACTTACTACTAAATTCGTTGTTTTTTTTATTCGTAATTTTTTTATTTTGATAAAGTACATACCTGCTTACGCTCTTCAAAAAAAGTTATAGCTCACCTACTTACAACCTTGACAATAACAAACTATACCATTTGATAGGTGTGTCTATAAGAATAATTACGGAGACACAGATGATCAAAAAGTTATAATTAAATATTATCATCGCGTCGCGTCTCTTCGGTCTTTGGAAGACAGTTGAGGCGTTGACTGCGATAAAGCAAGGCGTGTTGGTGACGGCGTGGTCATATGAACACTGCAAAGACGTAATAGCAAAAAGTATCGCATACCCCCTCGCATCTCTGTGATCTTCTGAAGACAGTTGGGGCATAGATTGCGACGCTCTAGGCGGACTGTTGCGTCCCGCCGTGTCTATGACGGCGTGGTCGAGCCGCCTCTGCTGCTCCGCTATAAGGTTCTCCAGCCGCTGCGGCAACGACAGTAGATTCTCCGGAAAGTTCACAGTGCGCTTCTTGTCGGGCTCCGGGGGCTGAGCTCGCAGAGAACTGTGAGAGGGTCTCCGAAAATATATAAAATTACATCGGAATCTTAATGAAAATTTAATCTTTTAGTTTATAAGTCGTATATATAAAAGCTATTTTAACATCATCCATATTATTGTGTTACGTGAAAATGTCTCTAAAGTGTCAAAAACACCTAACTTTACGCAAAAAGTATACAAAAAAATTCCAACATATGCCTGTTAAATTAATACAAGTACTTATCAGTATTCGAGGCATAAAGTCGCGTCTATTTTTCAAAGGTATATGTAAGGGAAAATTAGTTTTCACGTTCTGTGATGTGTAGCTGACCTTCTTTCGCTCCTAATAATTTTTAAATAGGGACAACTTTTTACTTCAATTTCAAAAATTAATAAAAGTAGGGGAATTTTTGAGTTTTTCGTAAATTATACTAAATCAAACAAACTCTTCTGTTGCAACTACTATACTCACCGCTCTGGTGTCGTTTTATTGGACTCCGCGTTAGAGGTAGACCGAAGCACCGGCATGGCCGGCCGGTTGAATAAGAACTCCTTCATTCGACGGAAGGACCGGCTCAGACTGGGCCTGGGCAGTTTCGCGAACAGTCTCGTCTCACTCGTGGTGCTGAATACATCGCTCTCTTTGTCACTAGTGCATGCGTCGTTGGTCGCCGGTGATTCCACTTGCTGCAACGAAAAATAATAATAACCAATGACCTGAATGCATGACATTTGATAAGTAGCAGTGTTTTTAGTTGTAGCTTGAGGCGAAAATCAGAAAATAGAAATGAAAAGCCGCTACGTTAAAGAAAACGTTTTGCAGTCCGCATAGGGGACAGTCGTTTGCAAAACAGTTCTATTGTAGACTTTTGAAGAGCTATTTTGAACTCTAAACTGCTTCCTTACTTATAATGTGTTAAAGAACAAAGAATAGTTTATATGACTTACAGTGCCGGTGGTTATCGGGCGTATAGGAGCGTTGCAGTCTACTATCACGATAGTGAGGAGCAGCACGTTGACCAGGAACAGCACGACGAACCTCGAGTATAGTATCACCATCACCCAGGCTACCCACGAGGTGTCTAGGTTGGAGCCCGCCAACCCTGTCACCACGCCGCCTATGTGCTCCATCATATCCGCTAACGTCTGATCATAGAATTATAAGTACATGCATATCAAAGAGTAATAAACGTGCAACGCTATAAGACAAACATATTTTTTGATGTGTAACATCTTTCCTCTTGGTTTCTTGCAATTTGTGGAAGTGATTTCGTGAAATGGGACGGAAGTGTGTAGCAGGAAGTCAGAGAATCGCGCGCTATTTGATTTGATTTGATTTAAGAATATACCATAGTTAAAATTTTACTAAGGTGAGATATCTAATGTTACTTATCATATACTGTAAGGCTCGCTTGTTCGTCTTTTAAGAAGTCATGCTTCCTTATTACTAAACGAGAAATAAGCTTAGACTAGCTACGCCGTGTTTTATTCATATCATTCAAGTGCCATTTGTTATACAATGAACAGAGACAATACATTAAGTAAACTAATCCAAGTTTATTTATATTTACAGGTTCGATTACAGATGGTAATTATTTAAAATATGTACTTTGAATGCAGATCATATTGTTTAAATGAAATAAAAAGTAAGTCGTCATTCAGTGAAATATCCTATCTACAATATTTAAAATACTTTCGGAGGGCAAGTGGCAAAGATTAAGGACGGCCTGTAGAATAAAGTCCTCGATGTAGATAACGACGGCAACTAATGTAAAGTCGATATTGCCGAATGCTGCAGAAACTACTATCACCTATGCCCCTGGTATAGTTGCGATAGTCCTTGTCCGATGTGAGACGATAAATAAAAGTCACCTGACTTACACACCCTCGTGTAGAAGGAGTCGTCGATATAGATGACTACGGCGACTATGTCGGCGCCGATCGCTGCGACGGTTGCCAGCGCCCAAGGCCACCTCACGCTCTTCGCAGCGGTGTTCTTCGCTCCACCCACTATGTAAAAATACCAATTATACAGGGTGATTGGAAGATGGATGCAAAGCTTTAAAGGGAAGCTTGCATAGATCATTTAGAACCACTGGAGCCATGTTTGTCTTGGACAAAGTATATAATTTTTTTAACTTAATCTATATAACTAAATGAAAAAACTAAAATGGAACAATTAGTTACAAATAATGGCCAGTTTGAATAAATAAATAATTCTTTGTCATTTTATTTCATTAAAGTAATGTATATGCAATCTAAGAAACCATGTTTAAAACATCTCAATCCTTAGGATTATTTTACACTGAAGTTTTAAAGTAACTGTTATTTTTTGATAAAATTTTTGACGGCTATTAAAAACACGGAATGTGCTTTTTTATTGAAAGCTTAAAGCTTTGCACCCATCTTCCAATCACCCTCTATAATTGTATAACATCCTGTCGTCCACCAGGACGTTTTCCTGTTTTCTTACTACGGTAAATAATACTCTTCCCGCTATCTCCTATGCTATCTGGATATGAAACATGATAAACATTTTATTAACCAAATTAGTACGTGAGTAGTAGTAGCGACAACTTTCAGGTATACTTACTGATCACAATTAGACTGCCTATAATCCAGAAGACACTCAGACCAAGGTTCACACTGTTGATGAGAAAAGTGCGGTATACCGTTAGAGGCTCGTTGTTTATCAACACGAAAGCTTGATTCGCGATGCCATCTATTGCCTGACCTATGTTAATTCTAATTCCACAAGGTCCCGGATCTGTAAACAACATTAAGTAGGTAGTTACATGGTACTTACCGAAAATGAAGCATACATTAAAAACGAGATAATTTGAAGTTTGTATGATACCTAGTTAGATAAGTACATAATTTAAGACGTTTTCAAGCATACTTTTTGAGAAATAGGTAATTGTTGAGCGTGGAAATGGCAAAATATATGTTTCCAGGGTCAATCGTCACAGGTGTGACAAAGGGTAGAAAAATATAATTCAAACAATTGCAAGTCGATCTGATGCAGCAGGCACTATTCTGTTGCAGTCATTGACAACCTTACCAAGACGACAAATAAAATCATACTACTATACTATCATGGACTTATACGTCCATGCTAGCCTAATGTTCTCAACATAATCCACTACTCGAGGTGCGTAAAGAAATTTATAATATACCTACTTGGTTTGTATATAATCGTATGATACCTATTAATGGACTATTATTATTCGGTAAGTGGCCCACAGCACAGTTCCTAGGTTTTTTCTGTATTAAAATGTATGAACAGGTAGGTGCAAAAGTTCTATATTCTTGGCCTAGGCCTTCAGTCAGAACGATTAATCAATTTATTCAATGGGAACAGTAGTTATTAAGTTCATCTAGAGGGCGTCTCTGAGACTCGGACCTCGGCTCTAGTTATCTGTTGTCGTGGGGGATGGGGAAAAACGCCCAGGTACGTAATCATAAACAAAATGGTATTTCCCATTTTATAATCGCCTTCTCGGCGCATCTTTAATGAGCAATCAGATATCATAATCATGACCTTCTATAGAGAAATATTAACACCAGATTCTTTAAAATACTAGAACAATATTTACGGTGCAGAACACATTATACGTAATGGAATGGGTACCTACATATATTCTACGCGGTTAAATTTCGTTTCTTAATATTTAGATATTATCTATACAATCACTTGCTTTGCGATGTATGTTATAAAAGTAGTGAAACAAAGATATTTACAAACAATTCACTGGTGCTTACAAAAGAAGTAGTTGCCAGAAACTAAGTAAAGATTTTATTTTGTAGTTTTTGTTTATAAAGATAGCAATAAAAATACTGCAAATGGCTATTAGATATTGTGTGTCCAATCCCTAATAGGGATGTATGTCTTATTCCTTTGTCATTTGTCTATAGTCCATTAAAAAAAGGTCACTTCCTTTTTTTTTCCCTCTCTTGTTAAAATGGTCGGTACGTTCATCGTTGTGTCTTTTTGTTATAAATTAAATCTAAGTACATCTTTTCATAAACCAAATGTGTGTTAATGCAATATTGTTGTATCTAATAAAACGACCAATACGCCGAGTTCCACGTTTTTATTTACGCCGAAATACTATTCGGAAAAGTGCTTCCACCTTAAAATTATCAGAATGACTCCGGTTTCACCTGATGTCAAGTGATGGTAGAGTCCAGACGCATAAATAGCTAGTGCAGCAGTTCTGTTGAACTACCACACCCACCACCAAGCAAAACCAAAAGATCTCGCTAGCTGTAAACAATAACAGCGCACAGAACAATAACAACTTTTATAAAACGTGAATTAAGTATCAAATATTTTATCGAAATAATCGCCAGTGACTTTATTTTGAAATAAGTATATTAACATATAAAGGTCACGTTCAAAAAAAATATAACCAGAATCCACACTAAAATTTGCTGGTTTCAATAAAGAAATGTACCTAATAATAAGATTGATTAGAAATTGTCTATTTAATACAAATAATAAAGGGCAGATTATATTCACTTAGAACGTTTACATTTAATTTTGGGGGCATATATTGGTACACACTTATACACTAAGTTATTCAAAAACATCTAACTTATGCTACTCATATAACATCCACAATAGTATACAGCTATTATATAAAACATGATCTGCATACGGAAGTTATTACTTACTTAAAAATAAAGTATCTCCAGATTGTTACGTATCGTATGTTACCAAACATAAGTTTCGTTTCTTCTAATGTACTTATATAGATTGATGTTCCAATATCAACATTTTTTTGCTCATTCACTATTTTGTCCTTTGGATTCTTTACTATTTTGGTCTTTTTGCCTTTTGTCCGGCTTTTTAATTTGCCGGATTTTTTTTAATTAGTAGGAATATGAGTAAAACTACTTATTAATTAAGTTATATCAAATAAGTCAAATAATCTTTATTAAGTTCTCATTAATTTAAAACAAAATATAAATTATCTTTAAAAATAAAAAACGATGCGAGCGTTTAAATATCACTGTAACTAAGTTAGTGATGTTTGCATTTTGTGTCTAAAATGTTCGGACTTTTATCGAAATGTCCGACTTTTTGTTAGAACTTTTCAAAATTTTAAATAGTACCTAATGGCCCGCTCTCCCTATTCCATACATGCCTGTATCCCATCAGTGGGAACATTAATAGGCTGATGATGATGATACTCAATTTTAACAGTGGAATCCGCGGTGTGATCTAAATTAGAACCTGAATTTCAAATCACACCGGCGAATTCCGCGGTGAAAAGTGAGTTTGTTCTTACGGTACAACCGGTGGAACTTTAAAAAGTTTGTTCAAAAGTACTACAGTAAAATTCTAAGACCGCCAGACCTTACCTATTTTCTCATCGACCAAATATGGATAATTGTGTGGTATTAGTGTGTACAATCAAAGTATACATAGGTACTTGCTAACTTGTGCTGTGGGCAATTTCTAGGTATCAGATGACACAGGCACGTAAAAATTTCACTTACTTTATTTACAGTCTGAGGGCTGATTCCTACATTATGTTTGTATTATATGTATTGTTAAGCAAAAAACAAAACCTTACTTATTTTCTGCAATAATATTGATATTTAGATAATAAGAAATTATTCAATTATTGTAAAAGGCTTCCTTTACATTATTTAAAAGATAACTTTAATAAAGCTGTATTAAAAAGGCACTTAATTACCATGAACGGCTGTGCGCTCTTTCTCACAGTGGTACTTACAATAAGCTTAGGGTAGTTTTGGTCCCTAATGGCTCGATTACACTTGGTCCTTAGCCCGTATTCTGGTGCACAAAAGACATTACTGAAATTCGGATATCCGAAGCAATATTTAGATTGGAATACAGGCTGGAATACGGGCTTACTCGACTCCGTTCATTTACACTAAGTCGTTTACCCGAAATCCATTGGAATTCGTATTCGGGCTAACGACCAAGTGTAATTGAACCATATGTTTGATCTGGCAGCTTACAAAATATAAAAATAGCTCCCTAGATACCATAGATAGATATCAAGCCTCAGACTGTAGTAAGTTTGTGTTTTTTGCTTTCGACATTTAATGTGTCTGGCATGAAATACTGCTACAAAATATGTCTAGCAGTATTCATTTTAAAAATTTTACAATATTCTCTTAAAGTAAAGTGAGTAAAAATTTTACGCGCCTGTGCCACTGGATACCTAAAAATTGGCCCACAGCCCATGCAATAGCGGGGCAAGACCTAAATTTGATGTCGGCAAGACAGATCTCGCGAGGCCCTTTTCTGTGGCGACCTGAAGACGGATTTTATAAAATAATAAAAAAAAAATTCGCTTTTAAGCAATGCATTAAAATTTTTGAGCCGCGAGGCCCCTTGTACCGCGAAGCCGTAGGCGGTGGCCCACGTCGCCCACGCCTTACGCCGCCTCTGAGCCCATGTTAGGAAGTATGTATACTTTGATTGTACAGACTAATACCACTCAATTATCCATATTTGATCCATGAGATATTTTCTCATGTAAGGTAAGGTAAGGTCTGGCAGTCTTGGAATCTTACTCTACTACCTACTATTGAACAAACTTTCTAAATTTCCACCGGCTATGTTATACCGTAAGAACAAACTCACTTTTCACCGCGGAATTCGCTGGTGTGATTTGTAATTCAGATTGTAATTTTAGATCACACCCAAAGTGGGTATCGTCATCATCAGCCTATTAATATTCCTACTGCTAAGACACCGGCATTACCTATGGATGAAACAGGGAGATTGGGCCATTACCCACCACGCGGGCCCAGTGAGGATTGGTGGGTGCTAAGGACTGCAGATGCAGCCACGACCAACGGCTTAATGTGCCTTGCAAAGCACGGAGGAGCTCGAGATAGTAAATTTTTGGTCACCCATCTAATGATCGACTGCGCGAAAGTGGCTGAATTTGAACGATCGCAGCCGAAGGTGCTTACCACTATCGTCATCGAGAGAAAAGTGAATTGGTTCTTACGGAATAGCACACTGTACGTAGGTATACAAAAAACGTAGGAATCTACTGCGTATAATGTTTTACTTACTGTGAAAGTACATTATTTTGACATAGATGAGCATCGGGATCTCCCTCAGGAAGTCAACGATGCAGAAGTATTGGATGAGAGCCAGCGAGCTGTATATCATCTGACCGATAGACTGGAGCTGTAGAAAACATAAAACACATTTGGGTTACCAAATCAAGAAAAAATAATATCTAGCTTTTCGCTTCGCTTTTAATTCAAATGTCTTACGATTTATAGTATAAGCAAATAAACGGGCACGCTTAAAGGTCACACTGATTTTTTCAAATATCTGTAATTTTTGATACTATGCATTTAACTTCTTAGTGCTATTTTCGATTTATAAAATATGAATACTTTATTGCAAAAAATTTAGGACACCAAAACATTAGTGCTTCAATGTGTATTAAAGCTAAATAGATCGCCATCGCAGAAAAGTACAGCAACTTTTCATCAGTGGAATGTATAAAGGCGGTATAAAGGTTATCTTAATACCTACTATTCATCTATACATAATAATAAAATGGTAGGAAAGTCAAAACTCTACATTGATTATTTTTTTAAAAGAATACTTTGGGTCTGATCTCCTATCGATACCGAAGCCAAAAATATAGTTTTTAGAATTTTTGTCTGTTTGTCTGTATGTATGTCCGGGATAAACTCAATAAGTATGCATGGAATACCTTCAAATTTGGCACGAATATTATTAAGAAGTCGGGTCAACATATAGGCTACATATTATCACGCTATCACCTATGGGGAACGAGCAGTGAACCTTTATTTCTAACTCCACACGTACAAAGTCGCGGGCTATAGGACGCTAGTACTATACTAACACGATTCCTCGAATTATCACGATGAGTATGGCCTCGGCATTCAATTAGAGACGAGTCGAGGAAAATGTGAAGTGCTATTCTGAAAGAATAAACTCATTTTTCACCGCGGAATACACGGTGGTATTTGAAATTTGTATTCTAATTTCAAACCCCAGGCGGATTTCGCGGTGGAATGTGGAGAAGAGGAATACAAAGAAAGAAGGGACAATCATAAATTAGAGATATAAAAGAATCATTGGCTATCATTATTCTGAGGCTTAACAAAATATCGAGGCCTAGTATTTTTTTTTACGAGTTTATGTTTTTTATGTTTTTGTGAACATTCGTTGCACATCTATTTTGCTACATGGCCTTTCCCAATAAAAATATGAGACCGCTTCAGATACTTATCACCGGTGAGAGATAAGCTTACTAGTGCTTATTAGACTACTTTGATAATTATTTTTAAAGACAATTACAACGATGGTTTAGTTTCTAGTATACTATGATTTGTATACGCCTGACTAGAATACAGGATCGATCCTTGTTAAGCTATTCTGTTTTGATAACCAATAATATCGGAAAAACATTAGTGAGAGAATTCTTAAAGATACAAATGACACGTCATATAGGTTTCGTAACCTGCACGAAATAGATAAAAACTTTCATATCTATACACGCGTACCAGAAGTATGTGACAAATTTCTCACTGATCGCAAAGGCAGCGAAAAGAAGATAAGATAAAAACATAACAGAAAGTTTGGTATGTCCGTACGAAATTCCAAACCTTGTATTAATGAATAGACCACATATATAGAACATCCTACTAATATTATAAATTTGCATGTTTGTGAGTTTGTATGTTTGTTACTGTATCATTCAAAAACTACTGAACGGATTTGGATAAAATTTAATACGGATACAGTTTATGATCTGGATTGAGACATAGGATTATAGAACCATAGACTCGAATTGGTCAATCAGAAATGAATACGTTTTTAAGTATCCCTAACGTTATGAATTAAACTGATGTACCAGGGCAACATAACTCCAAAGGAGATACTTATTTCAATGCATCGCCGACCTTCACACTGGTGTCACAGGGTTCATTATCCGTAATACTAGTGTGACGGTCGGGAAAAACAATTTCCCCACCATAACTCTGGTGTACGGTATATGGTGTGAAGATCGGACACGCATGACAAAATTTTAGGTTCCTGTGGCAAAAACTAAAATTAACGCGGACTAAGCCGCGGGCAGCCTCTATTATGTTAATTTATTTTGATGTTTGTTGGAACTTATTATATTTATAATGTAATTACCGATTATAGCTATAGAACAAACACCGACGGATAACTTCTAGATACTGCATCGTTACTATGAAGTTCTTATGTTACTGTATTTAATTTTATTTTATTTAAACTATGTAGACTATTTTTACAATATAACTATTATTTTTGCGCATGCAACTGGTTTTACTCATCCTAAGACGAAGTCGCGGGCGGCTGCTAGTGGATAATAAAATTGAAGGGCAGCGTTAATTAGAATGGATTACAATTATGTGGAATGTATCGCTTCAGTTATTTTAGAATGTTATGTTATGAATTTACTTAGTAAACCACAATCGCGGCATAACAAGGGATTATGCTACTTTCCTTTTACAAATATAGGTAGGTTTGCGTTTGTATGCTTATGCATTCAAGCAGAATAGAATACTATTATAGACGATACGTAACTTCATAAATAAATTATCAAAATTGGTTATTAGTCTGGTCTGTCAGGAATACTGAATCCAGGTACTTTCGCTATATCCTTCACAAAACAGGTGGGAATAAAAGACGACCCCATTGTGGGCTATGCTGTGCCGGGAAGCCTGTTTATCAAGTGGTTCCGTTTGTGAGCAAAATCGAAGCGTTACATCCATTTCATCCTTTCAGACATATATAGATAAGTACAATACCAGGAGCCCGTTACACAAATGAACACCGATTTGCAATTTGCTGAAGTCACAGTATTAGGAAATCTTACGCATCGGATTGGTAGATGTTACCGCTTCTATTATTATTTCATGATATTTTGCCTAAGTATAAGTATAAGAAGACGGAACATAAGTTTTTTTTTATATTTTTTGATAAAATACTTCTAGTAAATAGGATAGCTATTAGTTCGTAAATTAGAACTTGCTTAAGCTGTTGACTCTGGGCTCGCTACTACTCTTGAGGCCGCTATTGGAAGGTTGACGTGAAGAGAAAGGAAAGAGGAGAGGAAAGTTAAATAGAGTTGCAGGAAGCGAGAGATACAAAAAGAAGAAAGGGAGTTGAGACAGAATCCTACTAACATTATAAATGAGATTTTTTTTAAGTTGTTTTTAAGTAATTTTTGTTTGTTACTCAATCACACAAAAAGTACTGAACGGGTTGTGTGAAATTTATGTTAAAATATACGCATATAGTCTATGACCTGGATTGAGACATAGGATATTTTGATCCCGGAAAATTGACAGATCCCTGTGGGATTTAAAAAAACTAAAATTAATGGTTAATGCAGATGAAGTCAGCATTAGATAAAAAAGGCTATATTACCTACTCAGATTAGTGGTATATTGATAATTTTCAAAACTGCCTTGATAGTAGACTAAGCCCTTATAATTATATTAATAATGGTGGCAAACTAGTATTAAGTTGTGTATTCATTAGGCAAACTTTAACAACTGTTTATAAACAGTGTTTAGCAATGTTGCATCACCTTTGTATACAGTTTATAAACAAAGGTGATGAGATGACACATTGTTTCAGATACATGTTGCCGTGTTCTCCACTATGAACGGAGAGCAAGACGAAACATTTAGTTTATAAACTAAATCTGATAGGTGTAGACTTGTATGCGGGCATGGACTTGTTATATATAATATCTCCATGGCTGCGGAAGGTTAATTTTTTATTTAACCGTGGAAGTAGTGTGGTTCAGCAAAAAAATGACGATACTCATATAGCTTTTTAAGTTATGTTACGTAAACCGTTTTAGGATGTCTCATATAAGATGCTTGTACAGAAATTGCTGCAGAACTGAATATGTCATAAAATCAAGTAGAAACAAAGATGCATACTCTGCGCTCACAATTTTCAATTAAAAGTCATTTTCAAGCCAAAAAACTGGAAACAGTACTGAGGAAGTTATTAAAGCAAATTGCTGTGGTATATTTGCAAAATTTCATCATAATATCAAAACATAACTTCTATTTAAGAGATTATTTAGAATCACCACCTTTTCCTTTTTTTTCGAGTACTCTCATGAAACTGCTTGCGTAACACTACCTCCTCGAGCGACATCGTAGCAACAACTGACAAGTGTGGACATCCAAGTTTCAGAAACAGTGTTTACAGTAAGCCGACTCGGCTTCCTGCGCGTATTTTGCCCTACACAATCGACAAAAACATATCAAAATTTAATAAAACTGTCAACACAAAACTTTGTTTGACTTCACTGACTACCTGTTTGCATTAACAAAGCTTTTGTTTTCTGAGCCCGATTAAACACAAAAACACAAGTCAGACCCGCGCGGGTCTCGGGACAGGGTATTGCTACATTGGCAATTTTTTTGACAACTCGATAGCGGGAGCTGCATAACAAACCTGCGCTTCGAGTGCAACTTTTCACTCATAAGTTTCAATTTACATAAAATGTATGAAACATTTGTCAAATTTTACATTTGTTGCAACGGGATTGAGGTTTGGAACGTAGCCCTGTGTATTGTGTGAACGACAGCCACGTGAGCAGCAGTCGGCGTGTGTAGAGAAACATGTTTCAGAAACAAAGTTTTGTGCATGTGTTTTTTCAAATATTTTCAAAAATCTTTTGCTGAGACCCGGCTTTCAAATAGTTTATAAACAAGGTGATGAACTTCATAAACAGGCAAAGGCATTCCTATCATAATTATTACTCGCGTGGTAAGTACCCTGCCCATTCCTTACGTAGTGGAGCTCTGGAAACCTAATAAAGTATTAGGACGGAACCCGGTAGGTATATTCAACGACAGAAGCAAAATATATACTACCAAAATATAGTGTTATTTCACTGCAGTCTTCAATGTAGTAGCCGCACCCTAAGTTTTCAAAGAGATTTCAATCCAGATATTTGTGGGATTGCACCCATTTGTCCATAGGCAAAAGAAATTCAGTTTTCACACCCTTTTAACGTGCGGGCCCATGTTTTATAGTGTTTAATTAAAAGAGGAACCTCGGGATTACTTTATAATTCAATCAGATTACATATTTAAAAAATACATTTCTTATATAGGCGAAACAAAATATAATACATAAGAGATATAATATTTTTATATTTATAATTTTTATTATTTTTAAAGCATGTGACTGCTTGATGTTTAAATCTAAAGAAAATATAACTAGAAAAAATTCCACGCGGACCAGGCAGCAGACGGGACTCGAACCCGCACCCTTCGCAATCCGGGCGAATGCACTGACCAATTATGCTACCGCGGCCCTCACGGACCGCGTCGAAATTCTTTCTAGCTATTCTTAAGCTGCAAGGCAGCGCCATCTCTTCGCATTATAGGTAAATTTTTATATTTTTCAAAAATTCTATGAATGGCTGATTTTTCGTCCATAAGCTCCGTACGTAGATAACACGTATGAAACACGCTTCTCTGTAATCCCACCAGTCCAGCTGGATACCGCAAATTTCAAGACTGAGATTAGTCAGTATAAACTATATAAAATGTATACGGGATCCCGGTATTGCATTCCTATTTGGGTAAGTACCTAAGTTCTTATTTTAATGAGGCGCTATAAATTTTTATGTTTTGAGTCTTTAAGTATTTCGCTCTCAGCTTAGTAGGAAAAAATAAGTGCACTAACTATGCTAACAAATATAGTACATAGTTGATAATCCGCTTTGCAACAATCTTAAAATACCTAAGCTGTTGGGGAACATAGAACCAGTACCCACCCAGGAGATAAATATGTTATTTTATTAAATAACGTACACACGCATCGCATTTAAACATAATGTATATATAATATATTCAAATATGCACACATTACTGTTACTGATGAGTGCTTAAATAGGTTTAAAAAACGCATTGACTTTCTCTTACAACAATTTCGGAACAGCAAGCACCATAAGCAAAAGATAATTCTTTAAGTAGGTATTATAAGTATTTTTAATGCGACTTTACAAATTAAAAATATACTTGTTATACAATTAATATCCAGTATACTTAATTTAATTTTAATCATTATGCTTAAATAATAGAATTAAGTACACAAGGATTATGTGATTGGAAAAAATATAAAGTTACTCACTAAGGTAATCACTCCGGCAGTTATTAAAATCTTATTGGCGGCCATGTTTTGATCAGATCACACACAAAAGAAAAATTTAGAAATTTCAAGAAGGTAAGTAGTGAGTCACTCCATTTAGAGAGGGCAGTAACACTCTCCCGGTATGTAGGTACCACCGCGCAGCGGATAACACAGCATCAGACTGGCACCTGCATGAGATAACCGCGGCGTCTCAGCCGCGCCCGACTACCACTCGAATCGCAATCGAAACGATAGATCGATAAAAATATATTATGTGTGCTAACTTTTGATAAAATACCAAAGTTACGTTTGGCTTTCCATCGATGCTGAAGATTTAGACGCTTCACGGTAGTGAAAGTGAAATTCTCACTTTTGAAATCAGATAAAAACATTTATTGCGTTTTAGACAAAAAAAAACATTTTCCATGGTTTCTTATATAATTTATCTTCATCTACAGATTAAACTTAAATTAAAATAGTTTAAATTAAACGTATTGTAATATATATCGTTAATGGCTTTTCCTTTCGCCTGAAAAATTTGTTGCGAAATCCGTTCACAATAACTTAAATATAACAACAGTGAAACTTTTGAAAACCAAGAGGTCATGCATAAATCAGGTCTAAAATAAAATAAGTCAAATTCAAACTTACCCCTTGGTAAAAATCTAAATCATTGAATAATTTGGCGCAATAACAGTGGGAGCAGAAGAGCATATTTTTATGATTTAAAAAAAAACAGTTTAAAAATTTATAATTTTTAATCAACTCTAAGGACACTTTCCTCGCAACTTTGTATTGATACTATGATTGTGTTGAGAGAGAAGAATACAGGTTGGACACACACCTTTACAGATGGTTCCAAAGGGACTTTTGGTGTAGGCGCTGCTTTCTTTGATGTAAAGGGAGTCTCTGCTATGTGTAAATCAACTACTGAAGTCTCAATCATGACCATGGAGTTATTTGAAATTTTAGAAGCCATAATTTATATTGACGGGTTAGAAGAACATCGGTTTGTTATACTGACAGATAGAAAAAGTGCCTTACAACATTTAGCTCGATGCGCCTCTGGGCACAACATATTCTATTTTAAGCAGGATCTATGAAATCAATGTGCGTAATAGTACTCTGAGATTGCAATAGATTCCATCTCATGTTGGTCTTAAAGGAAATGAAGAGGCCGACAGGCTGGCGAAGTTAGCTGTCAGTGAAGGTATTAACTCAAATATTTTACCATTTTATTCAGAGCTTCTGGGAAAATTCAAAAGAAAATGTTTTGGAAAATTTAATGAGTATTTTGACGAGTGAAGTAGGGAAAAAGGAATCTGGTACAAAATAATCCAGTGTCAGCCTCTGAATTCCTTGGTTTGTCAATTTGAAATGCAGCAGAAGGTTCATTGTAACAGCTTTAAGACTTCGTACTGGACATTATCGATCCAGGAAATATGGTTTCCTTATGAAAAAATTAGATTCTCCTAATTGTGAAAGGAGACTGCTCAGCTTCCATACATGTTTGGCCTAAAGACCAATAATCATGAAAAATTGTTTCGTAGATTCGAAATTATATATAAATTACTGTAGAAACGAATATTATTGACGGACACCCCTAAGAACTTCTATAAACCATATACACTGAACATATTAAAATAATAAAAAACAAATAACTTAAATAGTAAACTAGGGAAATCAAGCCAAGTACCGAAATTATGGATTAGATTCAGGTATCTATATACCTGAATCTAATCCATAATTTCAGCATGTAGATTAACAGATAGTTGCCTGTTTTTAAAGTTAATGCATAAGAGTAACTTTTAAAATCAGGTGTCATTTCCGGTTATAATAAGATACTCTGTGACAGAAACTGTGTGATGATTGTGAATGAGCCACAGATTAGAGAGAATTTTTAAACTCTAGTTAACCAAAGAAAGCTAAGAGATTTAGGTTCTATATCCGAATATTCAGTAGCGTCATTATTTTTGTTATGTTTTTAAGATAACCATATTTTAGATTTTTAGTGTATCACACCTTATAATTTTATTTATTTACTAGTGGCCCGCCCTCGCTTCGCTTCGGTGTAGAGCTGTAGTGTAAACTATAGTTTTTGTTCTCAGGTGCTATAAACAATGAATTTATTTATATAATTACACGTGTTATTGTGAGTCAACCATAAAAGATAGACATATGCTGTTGCGGGATATTTTTTAGACAATTTTATGTAGAATATTTCCGTCATACATGATTTCTATGTAACTTTAACCATTAAGGCTGCACACGCGACGGAAGCTTAAAAAATGGAGTAACTTCTCCCGTTTTCCCAACATTTCCCTTCACTACTCTGCTCCTATTGAATGTAGCGTGATGAAAAGTATACTATAACCTGCCCAGGAGTATGAAAAATAATTGTACCAAGTTTCGTTAAAATCCGTCGAGTAGTTTTTGTTTCTATAAGGAACATAAATACAGACAGACAGACAAAAATTTTACTGATTGCATTTTTGGCATCAGTATCGATCACTAATCATCCCCTGATAGTTATTTTGAAAATACATTTCATGTACAGAATTGACCTCTCTACAGATTTATTATAAGTACAGATTAATTTATAGTCAGGGAACGTAGGCCCATAGATAGATACCCAGTGACAGATTTACAAATTTGCCGCTAATAGGCTATTAAATTTTTGCCTCCCTTGCTGACCTTTGAAATTCAATACGCTAGTTCACAATTATATTTATTCTGAAATTGCAACTTTATGATTTGAGTTCTATCGTCCACATAACGTCGGCTTTTCCCCGTTAGTTTAAAAAATTACTAAATTTAAATTGTAATTAATGTTGAAACGCTAATGGAATATTTTAAAAATTCATGATCGCATAAGTACATACCTATACTTTACAGTGCGTTTAGTAATCTTTTATATACGGATTACGGACGTAAGAGTGTTGAGTATACTGTGCATTACTAAAATATTAAAATTTTTGACACTCGTTTTTCTGCGTAGATTTTGGGCCAAATTTGCCGCCCCCTTAAATCTGCCGCCCTAGGCTCCAGCCTACTGAGCCTACTGGTAAATCCGCCACTGTAGATACCTTAAAGTCTTACATATATACAGTTTATAATGGTCAGTCTTTGGCTGAATGTTACTACACCCATAGCCATTAAAAATGATTCGTATGTTTTCCAAACCGGTAATATTAAAAGTCCTTTTTAAAGTGAATATATTATACAAAGGTGTCCGTTGAAATCTAATGACTGTAAATTAAATTATAAATTACGCAAAGAATTACCGTGTATGTCAATATTTTTTGTGCATTTAGGCGAATTTGAGCAATCTCCTTTGTGGTACAGTCGATGACGTTCAGCATAAGCTTCTAGAGTGTACTAAGTATAATAATAAGACAATGTCATTATTGTAAAAACATAATATAACGGGGACGTATTCGGTGTAGGGATATTCGCAACAATATTGGCATATCCGCAGTCGTGAATATTCAAAAGCCTTATATATATATTTTGCAACAATGAATTGTCGTAGTTTTATATTAATTTTGTAATTTATAATGTTAGGATATGATGGGACTGGCATATCTTTATAAGGTAAAAGCCTCTAAATAAAGATTATAAAAAAAACTTAGGACACCATACTTTCTGAATTTAAGACAAAATCGGTTATTATAGTCTTTTAGAAAATCTATTGAAACCCATGCAATTTTGAAAGTATAAATTATAGTAAATGTGGGAAGAACTCCATCGTAAATAAAGGTGAAGTTTGCATGGAAATATTAATTTCCCATAGAAACTGCTGGAACTTTAAGGGGGGTCCTTAAAGGGTGATTTCGAAGATAAATCCTATGTCCTTTCCCGGGACACAAACTATCTCTCTACCAATTTTTGTCTAAATCGGTTCAGCGGTTTAAGCGTGAAGAGGTAACAGGCATACACACTTACGCATTTATAATATTAGTATCGGCCACGGAGGTCGTCAAATAAAATTAATATTGTAAATTTTTATTCAAATTAAAAAACTCAAATAATAATAATCCGTCCAATTTAGATATTTAAGTACATACATAAAGTTGAAGGTGAGTAGATTATAAAAGAAGAATATAGATTATAAAATATATACATATAATAAAATGGTGGGAAAGTCAAAGCTGTACACTGAATATTTTTGGTGTACAGCTTGGGGTGTGATCTATAATCGATACCGAAGCCAAAAATATAGTTTTTAGAATTTTTGTCTGTTTGTCTGTATGTATGTCCGGGATAAACACAAAAAGTACTGCATAGATTTACTTCAAATTTGACACGAATATTATGAAGAAGTCGGGTCAACATATAGGCTACATATTATCTTGATATCACCTACGGGGAACGAGCAGTGAACCTTTATTTCTTCAACGCATTCTGTAACAACGTGAAATCTAACGGATCATATTTGAATGTTGTTATTATGTTAACCATGCTATAAGCTAGCTTCACACTATAAGTAACTTAGGCCGATAAACATAATAGACAATTTTACAAGTTACGATCTGGGCGAAATGACCACCATACGAAATGACCATATTGCTTTGTTCTCTTCAGAGCAAAAACAAATTTATGACACCGTCCTTGAAAGCACTGGGCTAAACCAGGGTAAAATGTTTTTCTTGGATGCTCCTGGTGGAACAGGAAAAACATTTGTTACCACTGGCATACTTGCAGAGGTCAGGAGGCAAGGCAAAATTGCCATTGCTGTAGCGTCGTCGGGAATTGCTGCCACACTGCTTCCGGGTGGCAAGACAGCACATGCCATGTTTAAAATTCACATCAATTTAGAAAGCGCCGAAACGCCTGTTTGTTGTGTGTTACGTAATAGTGATAAGGGACACGTGCTCAAGGATTGCTCTGTGATCGTATGGGCCGTGGACATAACCCTGCAGGACATCCGCAGGAACGAACATTTGATGGGTGGTGTCACAGTTCTGTTCAGTGGCGATTTCCGACAAATTCTTCCCGTGGTGACGCGGGGATCGAGGGCTGACGAGGTGAATGCTTGGTTGAAA